CTGGGATCATGACCTGAGCTGAAGGCAGATGCTTAATGACTAAGCCACCCAGGTGCCCCTAGAAAATGGATTCTTGATAGCAATTCTGTAGCAAATTTTTGAGACAGCTGTATTATCAGCAAAGCATTATTATTTTCAGAATTCAAAGAATTCTCAAGAAAAAGATACCTAAGATTGCATATTAATAAAATAATAAAACTTTTTTCCAGTTACGCTGTTATGTGAAACTGTTAAATTTAACATAGCAACTATTTATGGTTTCTATAGATTTTTATTTGATAATACAGTTATAAAATTATTTTAATGTGTTTTGTAACTTTCGAATATTTGTTAAGCAACTATTTATTGAATGCCTATTATATGCTAAACACTTAAAAGAGCTAGGGAAGCAGTGATAAACAACATTAAAATTTCTGCCCTATGGAGCTTAATTTTCCTGAAGTGGAATGTAAATGAAATATTATTAATTCTTTTCTAGAAGGAATGGAGAAATATCTTATATTTGAAAATATCTTTGAAAATCCTATCAGTTTAATATTTCTGTAGGGATTTTAACATTCTAGAAATTGTCTTTAAATGCTCTTTTTTAGTTTTTCAACACATGCCCTGGAAATGAACAAATTAATATAGAAAATCCTTCATTTACATCAACCCCTATTTGTGGGCAGAAAGTTCTCATTACAACTCCTCTTCACAAGGAAACAACCCCCAAAGATCAAAAGGAAAATGTAGGGTAAGTGAGAAAATGGGAAGCACAATTTTAGATTAATGAGGTGCATGGCTGGCTCAGTCAGTGGAGCATGAGAGTCTTGATCTTGGGATTGTCACTAGAAGCCCCACATTTGAGCATAGGGTTACCTATAAATAATAATAAAAATGACTTTGTTTAAAAAAAGCTTTTCATCCATTTATCCTAATCCCTATTCATATAGGACTTAGCATTGAAAAAAAAGATCGTAACCTTATGTTTCATTCCTACTGACTGAAAACCAGCTACAGGTAATGGAAAACTTTGATATGAAGCAAAATAACATTTTTAGTACTTTTTTCTACATTTGTCTTTTTCTATTTTAAGATCATTGATTGGAGTAAGAATTAGTTTAGGCAAGCTACTATAAAATAGTCCTGGAATGTTTAAATAAAACGTGTATGCTAGAAAAGTTTAGTGTATGCTTTTATCATGGGTTTGCCTTCCTTAACCCTTATAGAATCAAATTTTGACTGTAATACAAATATCTAAATGATTGGCTAGGTTTAGAACACCTACTATTAGAAGATCTATATTGGGTACCACACCAAGAACTCCTACGCCTTTTAAGAATGCGCTTGCTGCTCAAGAGAAAAAATATGGACCTCTTAAGATTGTGGTATGTATATTCTTCTTATTTTTAAGAAATATCCTGATCTTAATAAAATTTTTTTGATCTTTGATTTTTTTACATTTTGAAAAGATGTTCATTGAAATTAGTAAAAAGCTTATTTCTTGATTTATAAATTTGAATTTGTTGTATGAATCCTTTCCCTTGACTTGTAAGTAAACTTTTGCTTGGCTTGTTTGGAATTCATACTTTTTTACATTAAGTCACATAGAGAAAGCAAATCAAGTGTCAGTTGGACCCTTTCCTTAATATTAAAACCCACCTTTTAGTAGTTTCTGTGGTGGATACCTGCAGTAGAATAAAGTAATTTTAATATTTTGATATACATAAGCACTTTCCTAATATTTATGACTGATTGATCAGGATACCTCTTTAAAGTTCAGTTTACTCTTCTATTCAATGGAGATCATAAAACACATCCCAGAGGGTTATTTCTGGAGATTAAAAAGATAGGTGAAATAAAGGGGTTGGTGCTAAGTTTCAAAGAGCATGTACTTACTTGTCATGATGATTAATCATGGTAGCAACAGTAGTTCATAAATGGAGGTAGAAAGTGTTATCTGTGCTTTTAGATATATAGTCAACTTTGAAATATATTAGATGAAAACTATGGGCATTCTAATTCTAGGTAGATACAGGTCTCTGACAAGTTAGGTTCATTAAAAATAAAATATTTTAAAAATATTGGTCACTTCTAGGCGAGTTTAGTTATATTCCTCTATTTTTAGTCATATTTTGACAAGATTCATTCATTCTAATTTACTTGATTTAATCAGTTTTCTACCAAAAGGAATGTCATACCCTCAAATCTTCTGTTCTTTTCCCTCTTTTGAAAATATTGGTTAGAGGGTACATAGTAGGATTGATTAAATTTTTTTGTCCCCTAGCGCCTTAGACTGCTGTGAACAATTATATTCTTTTTAGCTGTTGGACTTTTATTTGTGCATGTACACATAATGGAAGTGAGATCACACTTTATGTACTACCTTGTAATTTTTTTAAGTTAATTTGTATATATGTATCTCATAATTTTTAATATTTGTATTATATTCCACTGTATGGAATTACCTAATTGATTGGACTAATCTGTTTCAGTGTTTTGCCATTCATTTAAAATGCATCATTATTTCAACAAGCTAATAGGTACCATGCACTGCGCTAGGCTTTGGGGATGTAATGTTGAACCTGTCAGATATGTTGTCTGTTTTCTTAGGAGTGTGTACCTAATTGGGAGATAGACAAATAAACAGTGATTTGAAGGCATTTAAGAATTCTACAGTGCCTCAGGGTCATTTGTTCAGCATATAAATTGAATAAAAATTGTTACTTTAATAATAGCACATGAGAAATCAGGTTTTAAGTGACCTCAAGTCCCTGGTAGTTTGTTCTCATTTCAAAGAATTTATCCATTGCCAAAACAGATTATTTTCATCAGCAATTTAAGATAAAAAGAAAATAATGATTTAGTAATTTTCTAAAATATTTATATGTTCATACATTTGTTTGCAGGAAGCTCACTTTTCGCTTTTCATTCCTCCTGTTCCTTCTCCAGTTATTTACTGAGTACCTACAATATGCTAACCATTTAGTTTTCTTTTCTTTTTTAAAATTTTATTTCTTTATTTGTCAGAGAGAGAGCACAAGCAGGGGGAGCAGCAGGCAGAGGGAGAAGCAGGCTCCCCACTGAGCAAAGGATTCCCCATGCAGAACTGGATCCTAGGACCCTGGGATCATGACCTGAGCCAAAGACAGACACTTAACCAACTGAGCCACCCATGTGTCCCTAACCATTTAGTTTTCTAATGTATCTTACTATGAGTCACATGCATTTCTTACAGAGGGTTCCAGAATTTTAATCTGGTATACCTTAAATATCTGTTGTTTTCTTTTCTTTTCTTTTTAATTTATTTATTCGACAGAGAGAGACACACAGAGAGAGGGAAAACAAGCAGGGGGAGCAGGAGAGGGAGAAGCAGGCTTCCCACCGAGCAGGGAGCCTGATGTGGGCCTTGATCCCAGGACCCTGGGATCATGACCTGAGCAGAAGGCAGCCACTTAATGACTGAGCCACCCTTGCGCCCAAGTATCTGTTGTTTTCTTTTTAATTTTTTAAATCATTTTTTAAATTTATTTTCAGCATAACAGTATTCATTGTTTTTGTACCACACCCAGTGCTCCATGCAGTCCGTGCCCTCTCTAATACCCACCACCTGGTTCCCCCAACCTCCCACCCACCCCCACCTCTTCAAACCCTTCAGATTGTTTTTCAGAGTCCATAGTCTCTCATTGTTCACCTCCCCTTCCAATTTCCCCCAACTCCCTTCTCCTAACTCCCCATGTCCTCCATGCTATTTGTTATGCTCCACAAATAAGTGAAACCATATGATAATTGACTCTCTCTGCTTGACTTATCTGTTGTTTTCTTAATAAACATTGATTTTTCTAATGTTTGCTGAAGATCATTCAAAAGACTAAAAACTCTGGAAATTCTTTAAATATAAATCTAAATTTTGGTATTAAGTACAGTAGTTCTTTTCTTTGTCACATTAGGACAATTAAGAGAATAATTCTTGGATGCCTGGGTGGCTCAGTCAGTTAAGCTCCTGCTCAGGTCATGATCCCGGGGTCCTGGGATCAAGTCCTGAATTGGGCTCCCTGCTCAGTGGAGAGCCTGCTTCTGCCTCTCCCTCTGCCTGCTGCTCTGCCTACTTGTGCTATCTCTTTAAAATAAATAAATAAAATCTTAAGAAAAAAAAGAATAATTCTTGGTAGTGAATGAATTCATCTGTGTCTTAGGCACTTCTCTAGGACATTTGTGTTCTTATGAGGGAGAAACAAATCATAGATTTTTTTTTTTAAAGAGTACCTAATCAATGTTCTTTGTGAAATATAATCCTTAAAACAAAAGCTCTTGGAGCATTACATGGTAATATTGATATAATTCCTGCATGTCTCAGGCTGTAGATGCAAGCACTTGAAAAATTCTCTTTCCATTATTAAAGCTTTTGTAAGTGCTGTGAAATCTCATTTATACATAAATGTTATTCTCCCTAGTTTTGTTGACTGGTAATATAAGCTGCTGGTCATTCTGTGCTGTCAGTTCTTTAGTGATTATTTTTTTTTTTTTAAAGCAGATCTGGGGTATGGTAGGTGTCATTTGATATAATTAAAAACATTTTTCCTGGGGGCGCCTGGGTGGTTCAGTCAGTTGGGCATCCAGCTCTTGATTTTGGCTTAGGTCATGGTTTCAGGATCCTGAGGTTGAACCCCAAGTGGGTCTGTGCATGGAGCCTGCTTATGGTTCTCTCTCTCCCTTTCCCTATGCTCCACACCCTACATGTGTGCGCTCTCTCTTTCTAAAACAAACCAACCATTTTTCTGACTTACATGGTAGACCTAGATATTTGATTGGAAGCTAGGTAAATAATATTTTGAGACTATTTCACTATTCAGCCCATACTCAAGTTTCTTTCTAATACCCACATAGACACACCACACACTACTTCTTGAACACTATCTCAGCTCCAAGCTTGAGGCTAGATGTACAGAGATATACACAAAAATGAAGAAGATGTGCTCACTGCTCTTAAGTAGCTCACACATTCAGTGGTAAGAGAAACGTGTTAACTAGTAATTATAATAAGTATAATAAAAGTAGAATAAGGAGAACTAGTATAGTCCCAATTTGTTCTTTACTTCTTATTTTTCCTATTTTTATATAAAAATATTTGGGAAATAATCTCTTATCTGTTTAATTCTGAGGCTCCTGATTGAAGCAGGAGCTACAGTAGGTTCCCCAGGAGGAGGAAGCCTAGAATGAAGCCTAGAGTGAACAAAGTGTCACACTACATTCAGTGCTTGCAATGTGCAGTATTATTTTTGCCATAAAACTGATTAGTTAATTCAACTTAGGTATCTACAGGGACTGGGAGAAAATTATGCCAATAATGAAAAAGTATTAAAGATGTATACATGGGGGAAAAGGAAATTGCTATAAAAGACTCTTTAATAACTCTCTTAAAAACAATTTAGTCACAGCCACTTGCCTTCTTGGAAGAAGATATTCGGGAAGTTTTAAAAGAAGAAACTGGAACAGATATATTCCTCAAAGAGGAAGATGAACCTGCTTACAAAAGCTGCAAACAGGAGGTAATCTTACAATATTATTGTTAATAAAAGTCTTTATTTTAAAAATAAAAGTGACTTTACCATAATGTTTCTATTGTAAATTATTCATTCTAGCATACAGCATCTGTAAAGAAAGTCAGAAAATCACTAGTCTTAGATAATTGGGAAAAAGAAGAACCAGGTACTCAACTATTGACTGAAGACATTTCAGACATGCAGGTTTGTGAAGAATTTTTTTGTTGTTGTTAAGATGATTGCTTTAAGTCCTGCCGGTTCTTGTTTCTTACTCATTGTGTGGTTAGTGCATTAGAGATTGATAAAGAGTTTCCTTTAGTATTTATTTTGTTTACTTCAGAAAGAAACTACTAACTGTAGAGAATATTTTATTTACTTTCTTGCTTTTTATATTAGTTTTGTTTTGAGAGGAGTTCGCTTTCTTATGTATGATGTCAAAAAATGGTAGTTCTCAAAACTTTAAATTTCAATATTTATTTTTGGTTAATTTCTGAAATATTTAATTTTACTACATTACTAGAAATTTCGTTGGAGCCAAAAGCTTTCTTCGAGGGAAATGAACAGGGCTTCCACCACCACTTACTCAGTAGTCCCTCTATTTGTCTCCATTTTTGAATTGGTTATTTTCCTCTTTCTTTTTTCTCTCTTAGTCAGAAAATATATTTACAACATCTTTATTAATGATACCATTATTGGAAATACATGACAATAGGTGCAACTTGACTCCTGAAAAACAAGATATAAACTCAACCAACAAAACATACACACTTAATAAAAAGAAACCAAACCCTAACACTTCTAAAGTTGTCACATTGGAAAAGAACCTTCAGGTATGAATTTATAAGTTTCTTTCAGTGATTTTTGTTGTTGTTTATTCAGTTATCATTTTGGACTTACTGATCACAAATTATACCTTTTCTTTTTAGATTTAAAACTGACTATAACAGTAACTAAACATTCATCATTATTCTGTCACTCAAACTAAATTTGAGTTTTTGAGAGACTCATTCATCAGAGCACATATAAATTAAACAATTGAAGTTGTAGCCAGAGTTTCTTCTGGTGATTTCTTAAGCATGATTTCATTTTTAAACTAAAGATACCTAAGTCTCCTTCTGGCATCTCTTCTGTAACAAATATGTGTAGTCCTAATTGCTATCTTGAAAGGGTAAGTGGTTGGAAGCAGTTTCAGCTTGATTTTGTTGGTACAGTTGTTTCCAGTGAACTTTTTGGCTCAGAAGTTATAAAACAAAATTCTTTTTTTCTGTTGCTATGCAGCCATTATGTCTCTGTAAATGAAGACTGGAAGATTTTTTTACTACATTATCTTAAGAATTCAAACCAGCTAGTTTGAGAGTTCATTGAGGAAGAAGTTATCTTCTTTATACCACAGTGACTGCAGCACTAGCATTCCTGACATTTAAGCAGTCCTTGGAAACATCTTTGACAATCAGACGTTGCCACCTCATCTCTGTCTTTAGCTGCTGCCCTTCAAAGAGCCATGTAGCACATTCTCTTAGTCCATTTTAAATGGTTTGATTTCCCAGTATTCAACACAGAACTTTTCAGGAAAATATGTTATGTAGCAGGTCATACCTATAATGTAATAATCTTTATAATAAAGGAAGAAAACCAAGGAAGCAAACACAAACTTGATCTTGTATTATGAATATATTTCCTAATTTGCAAAACATAAAGCATTCTTGGCTCATTTTTTGACATTACATCCTCTCTTTAAATCCTTAGCAAAATTTTAAAGCAATAAAGACTTGACATTTCTTTCTGTGTTAATAAGACTGATTTGAATTGTGGGGTTGTGGGTAGAGAATTTTTAATTGCCTCCACCGGTCTATGAACAATGTAGGTAGTTAAAAAAGATGGACCTTTAAAAATAAAAATTAATTAATTAAAAAAAGAGAAAAAGATGAACTTAAAAAAATTGACCATAAATATTTCAGTATGTATTTTTAAAACATTGTTTAATAAGAATTATCACAGTGCCATCATCAAAACTTTTTATGGTGATTATCATTAAATATCCATTTGGTTGAAATAATTGACTTAAAAGTGTAATGAATTGTAAAGTGGAATGGATAGTTATTTTAGTAATCTTCACATCACTATTAATGTTTCTTTCATAGTCAAACTGTGAATGGGAAACAGTGGTTTATGGGAAGACGGAAGACCAACTTATCATGACTGAACAAGCAAGAAGATATTTGAGCACCTACACAGCTACCAGCAGTACTTCAAGAGCTCTCATACTGTAATTGTTATTAAAATTGATGAAATGCCCTACTTTTACTGTATTCTGTACTAAATTAGGTTGCAATGAAATTTTTGTCAATTAATTGTTTTTAAGGTTTTAATATAACCCTAAAACGGTTTGCATCTTTTTTCATATTGGGCAGGCACGATGCCCAGCCACTTAAGTAAGGGGTTGGTAATTTCATAGTTAATTTTTTAAGAGATGAGATTTTTAAAAATTGTTTTTAAAAGAACAAGATGGGAAAACCGTGTTAGAATGTTATAAATATCCTAAAAGTAAATTCTCACGTATTTTCTTCAGAAGATGTATGTTCCTACTCTCTTGATGCTGCAGTTTTGTTACAGATAGGTTATGAGTTTGTGTGATTTCTGTAATTAGTCTATGTATGGGAAGCACACATGGTTTTAGGAAGTACTTTTGCCTACGTGCTGACTGACTTAGGCTACCATTTACAAAGAAATACAGTGGAAAGAAATTGAAAAGAAGGAGAGAAAGTTGCACTACTAATTTTTGGTATTTTTCAAAAACTATAAAATTAACTACAGTGTTAAATGTATTTATTTGAGCATAGTACTAAAAACAAAAAGCATTGATAAAGGTTTTTTTCCTTATTAGTAAAGAGTCAGTATTTTCTTCATAAATCTCAGAAGAGCTGAGAGTTTTGTTGAATGTATTGTACAGTATGTAGGAGCAAGAAGACTTTGTAAATTGGAAAGTCTTTTTATAATTTATTTTCATTTTTAAAGCTTAAATGTAGATATTTATACCTATACAGGGTGTCTAGAAGCCAGTGTTGTTTCCTGTTATTTACAGCTAACATAAAGAACAATTTTGATGTTTAAGTATGAAATATGAAACAGTAGTAAGTTATAGCTGCAAAGAATACAGTATCTACACTGTATGTCACATCTACCTAAATATTGCACTATGCCCTTTAAATCATGTTGGTTATAAAGTAGTTCTAAAAAGTACTAAATAATAATTTAATATTTTCTTTTTAAATTATATGGGGGGGGTCATATAAATTAATCTGGTGATTTGTATATGTGTTTGAAATTTTTGCATTTTGTTTAAACAAATAATATGGTACTTGGGTCCCTAAAAACAGTCTGCACTTAGAAGTTTATTGTATTTACTCAGTGTTTCAGAAGTAGAGAACATTATTTTTTATTTATAAAAATATTTTGTCCTTTTATAAATGTTTTATGTTTCTCTACAGGTTACAACAGTTGCTTCAGTTGCCTGTTTTAGGTGTTTGCACTTATTTCTTTTTGAAAGAATGTCTTTATTTGCTTTTGTGTAGAGATTTTATGTACTTTTTTTTTTTGAGACATATAATGGTGTGCTGTCAACTTAAACACTGACAGGCAAATAGAATTGTACACTGTAGTTGTAATTATTTATAATTGACACACTCTCTCCCTCTCCACTCCTGAAGTATGCTGCTATAAAAAATAGCAGAATCGGCTTGCTGCTATGAGAGAAGGAAAGAGCCACCACAACTTGCACTGTGTGAAAAGGTAAAAAGCAAATGATGGCAAGTTCTCAAGTTAACTTAATGGAATCAACCATTACCAGGCAAATTCTTGCAAATGCCAAAATACTATGCCTTAAAACAAAGACAGCTTAAGATTTTCTGATGTTTTTACGTTAATAGAAATGGTAATACTAAGTATTTTAATGCCTAGCTCTTGAACAGTAGACCGAAAAGGGTTTTAAGCTATTTAAATCCACTTGCTCATTTTTGCATATTATATGTAGTGAGAAGTGAAGAAAATGTATGGTACCAAGATTATGCCTTGTTGATAACAAATAGATGAGCCAATTTGAATCTTCTTCGCGTGTTTGTTAAGTCTGTTGATTGCTTCCTAATTAGTGAACTTCTCACAGAAATATCACTTTATAAAACCAATGATTGTAGCAAAATCATACTGGATCATTTCAATTTCAGTTACTTTGAACTAATAGCACATAATGGTTTTTGTTTGTTTGTTTGTTTTAATGTAGCCCAAAGCCCTTAGCTGGTTTGGATGTACATAGTTTCCAGTCACCAAAGTATATCTTGGAAGAGCTATATTTTTTTAAAGCATAATTTTTCTTGAGCATTAAATTATCCCAAGTATAATATATTGCAGATAAGCCTGGGCTTATTGGACATAGTACATATTTGGGTTGGTATTGGTTGAATCCTTTAGTTAACTGCTTTGTTGCTTTTTGCAAGAAGATTTTTAATCTTAAACATGTCAGGCATCTTAAGTCACCTTTATACTGTTGTGTTCATTTGAATTTCTTTCAGTATGTTATAAAAATGCCAGACATACATGTAGCAGCCATACTTGCATGGAAACTGACTACGCATATATAATACTGCATTTTGTTGTAAGGTTTTCACATTAATACGGCAATTACCCTGACTAAACTGAGTTTTTTGATGTATGGGAAAACTTTCCATTGTAAGAGAATCTTGCATACAATGTTTACTATTAACATCTATAATAAAGCATCTGTGTACAAGCTGACTTGGCATTCCTTGTTTCACTTTGGTTTTGTTTTATGGTATTGATTGATCTGTTAAGGACTTAACCCAACATTCTGTTCTTAGACTTTTTCCTTTAGTTCTACATATACAGGTGAGTTTATCTGTTAACACAACCTGACCTCCTTATCAAGAAGTGGAAATACTCACACAGTCTCTTTCAGAGCCATATTTTCAACTGCTTTTAAATATTTCCATATGACTCTTCTTTTTTTAAAAAATGTATTTATTAATTATTGTTATTAACATATAGTGTATTGTTTGCCCGAGGGGTACAGGTCTGTGAATTGTCAGGCTTACACACTTCGAAGCACTCACCATTTCACATACCTTCCCCAGTGTTCATAACCCAGTCACCCTCTCCATAACCCCCCTTCCCCCAGCAACCCTCAGTTTGTTTTGTGAGATTAAGGGTCTCTTACGGTTTGTCTCCTCCTGATCCCATCTTGTTTCATTTTTTCCTTCCCTACCCCCCAAACCCCCCACTCTGCCTCTCAAATTCCTCATATCAGGGAGATCATATGATAATTGTCTTTCACTGATTGACTTATTTTGCTCAGCATAATACCCTCTAATTCCATCCACATCATTGCAAATGGCAAGAGTTCCTTTCTTTTGAAAGCTGCATAGTATTCCATTATATATATACACCACATCTTTATCCATTCATCTTGATGGACATCTAGGTTCTTCCCATAGTTTGGCTATTGTGGACATTGCTGCTATAAACATTCGGGTGCACCTGCCCCTTCGGATCACTACATTTGTATCTTTAGGGTAAATACCCAGTAGTGTGATTGCTGGGTCATAGGGTAGCTCTATTTTCAACTTTTTGAGGAACCTTCATACTGTTTTTCAGAGTGGCTGCACCAGTTTGCATTCCCACCAACAGTGTAGGAGGGTTCCCCTTTCTCCGCATCCTCTCCAACATCTGTCATTTCCTGACTTGTTAATTTTAGCCATTCTGACTGGTGTGAGGTGGTATCTCATTGTGGTTTTGATTTGTATTTCCCTGATGTGGAGCACTTTTTCATGTGTCTGTTGGCCCTCCGGATGTCTTCTTTGGAGAAATATCTGTTAATGTCTTCTGCCCATTTCTTGATTAGATTATTTGTTCTTTGAACAGGGGTTTATCAATCTTACTAATTCTTTCAAAGAACAAGCTCCTAGATTCGTTAATTTGTTCTACTGTTCTTTTGGTTTCTATTTCACTGATTTCTGCTCTGATATTTATGATTTCTCTTCTCCTGCTGGGTTTAGGCTTTCTTTGCTGTTCTTTCTCCAGCTCCTTCAGGTGTAGGGTTAGGTGTGTACTTGAAACCTTTCTTGTTTCTTGAGAAAGGCTTGTATGGCTATATACTTTCCTTTCAGGACTGCCTTTGCTGTGTCCCACAGATTTTGAACAATTGTGTTTTCATTATCATTTGTTTCCATGAATTTTTTTCAATTCTCTTTAATTTCCTGGTCGACCCATTCATTCTTTAGGAGGATGCTCTTTAGCCTCCATGTCTTTAGTTCTTTCCAACTTTCCTCTTGTAATTGAGTTCTAGCTTCAGAGCATTGTGGTCTGAAAATATGCAAGGAATGATCCCAATCTTTTGGTACTAGTTGAGACCTGATTTGTGACCCAGGACGTGATCTATTCTGGAGAATGTTCTATGTGCACTTGAGAAGAATGTGTATTCTGTTGCTTTGGGATGGAATGTTCCAAATATTTCTGTGATGTCCATCTGGTCCGGTGTGTCATTTAAGGCCTTTATTTCCTTATTGATCTTTTGCTTGGATGATCCATCCATTTTAGTGAGGGGGGTAAGTCCCCTACTATTATTGTATTATTGTCAATGTGTTTCTTTGATTTTGTTATTAATTGGTTTATATAGTTGGCTGCTCCCATGTTAAGGGCATAGATATTTAAAATTGTTAGATTTTAAACAATCCTTGTTGGACAGACCCTTTGAGTATGATATAGTGTCCTTCCTCATCTCTTATTATAGTCTTTGGCTTAAAATCTAATTTATCTGATATAAGAATTGCCACCCCAGCTGTCTTTTGAGGTCCATTAGCATGGTAAATTGTTTTCCACCCCCTCACTTTAAATCTGGAAGTGTCTTTGGGTTTAAAATGAGTTTCGTGTAGACAGCATATTAATGGGTTTTGTTTTTTTATCCATTCTGATACCCTGTGTCTTTTGATTGGGGCATTTAGCCCATTTACATTCAGGGTAACTATTCAAAGATATGAATTTAGTGCCATTGTATTGCCTGTAAGGTGACTGTTACTGTATATTGCCTCTGTTCTTTTCTGGTCTACTACTTTCAGGCTCTCTCTGCTCAGAGGAGCCCTTTCAATATTTCCTGTAGGGCTTGTTTGGTGTTTGCAAATTCTTTTAGTTTTTGTTTGTCCTGGAAGCTTTTTATCTCTCCTTCTATTTTCAATGATAGTCTAGTTGGATATAGTATTGTAGGCTGCATGTTTTTCTCATCAGGGTGTTACCTGCAAGGCCAAATGGTCACCCAGTCAGGTCTGTGCAGTATTATATTACCTCAGTGAATTCATTACCATTTAGATTTTACCTTTAGCTTTCTAGGCTTAGAAATCTGATAGATTAACTCACCAAAAATAAGTTTACCCTTCAGTAGAATGTTTATCTCAAATGTGCAAGACTGACACATGAAACTGAAATGTCGATCTATGAATTTACAGTATGAAATACAACTGCTAGGAGGACGAGGTACATTCTCTTCTGTGAAAGCATAAGGAAACAGATATAAAAACCACATAGATTGATCACATCTGTTTTGTTCAAAGACCTTCTGTAGTTGTCTGTTGCCTAAATAAAAATAATTCTACTTCACTTCCTAACCTAGACCTGGTGACTTGGCTCTTCAAGAACACAGATGTACATGCTTCTACCTCCATGCCTGTGTTTGTAGTGTTTCCTCTGCATGATTGTTTTGCTTTTGTCTCCTTAGCCTGTTAAAATTTTACTCATCC